TTAGATACCAAAATCCTAGGCTGTACACTCAATCGTACCACTTAAGAGCCACATGACCCTCAGTTAGAGTCCCAGACCTGGTGGCTTGAAAATCACGCTAGCTGTGCACATGCACGCCCCAAATTCCAGGAGGAAAATGGAAGAGAAGGGATTGTGGCATGGCCATCCCCCAAGGGGGTGATTTCTCATCTTCCCTCTCTCTGTCTCTCTCAGGTAAACACATATCTTATGGCAACAACCCAAACAAAGGTAAACAAAAACCCCTAAGACCTTGGTAGTGTGCAGTACACAAAAAAGAGATCAGGTGCTATGGAGCCTGCAGTTCAAAGCCTGGTTATGCTGCAAACATAAATCATGCCTTACAACTTCACATGTTAACCTGCCTGGACCTCTTTTCACGATACGTGGAGTTACAGGGCTGGCTGTGTGGTCTCCAATGCAGCTGGATCCCACATGGCTGACCATGCCATTTGAGTCCTGGACCTGCTGGTGGCTTGAGAAACACACCAGGCACATGTGCATGCATGAGTGGCCAAAATCCTGAAAGGGGGATGAGAGGAAGGAGAAAAGACCATGGTTCCCTATGGTTGGTACTTTCTCCTAAACCTACCTCTCTGGTGAATGCATGAGCAATCTAGCAAAAAAAAAAAAAAAAAAAAAAAAAAAAAAAAAAAAAAAGAGTTAAAGCCTACTTAGGGATGCTTTAAGTCATTTTTACACACCAGGCAGGGGCTTTGGTAGTTGTCAATAACGTTAACTACTGAACGTGTCTTTTAGAAACTAATTTGCTTATATGTGAAATGGGGACAAGAGCCTAGGGCGTTTGGGGCACAGTGGTGTGCTGTGCAGGGCGGGGGTGGGGGGGTCATTATCAAGACACAGCTGTAACTAAAATGCACGCAGCTTTGTAGAGAAAGACAGGCCCTGGAGTCAGCAGATGTGTGTGCCAGGCTTCGGTTAAGGGTAGATGGTCTGTGCAGGGTCTTCAGAACCAGCCTAGCAGAGCAAAAGGAGCACTCAGCAGGGAGATGTAGACCTCAGCCAGCGTGGCTGTGACCTCAACATTTCCTTTTCAGAAAATTCTGTGGTCCCTTCTCACTGGCAAGTTCTGATTCCAGAATTAGAGGAGGAGGAGGAAAATAAAATGTGTAGGGAGGGCACTGACTCAGAAGACAGAAACTAGGGTAGATATGGAGCAGGAGGGAGCACTAGGTCTAAAAGGGCCTGGAAGAAGCCGCTGAGCTCTGGAAACCAGAAGTTTTATGACATCCAGGTGAGAATAAGAGAATCGATGTTTAGCTAAATCTCTGTAGAAACAGGCTGTGCAGACCTGCAGGTTAAATATGGTTCTTCTGAACAGTTGTGAGACTTTGGGATGGTCATGTTTTTGTCTTTTCTGTCTTGTAACATTGAAACAACACACCAAACTGGGTTGCTGGATAGCTTGAGAAGGCACAGATAAAAACCTCGCAGAGTGCCTGGCATGTGGTAGGAGCTAGGAAAAATCAGCGTTGTGTCTCACTGTGTTACTTCCCGATATAGCTTGTTCTTTCCCATATCACAAGCCCAGCAAATTTCTCTCAGGCCTTTGAACACAGACTAAATCATCTCCTTGCTTGGCTTCTTCAGGCTCTCCTTGTTCACAGAGCAAATGCCTGAGAAAGGCTCAATCTGCTATGGAAAGAGTCTTGATTGACTTGGAACAGCGACAGAGGACTGCTCTTTCTTTCACTTGAAGAAGGATCTGAGTAGTAAAACCAGACAAGGATGTGACTCCAACCCCAGTTCAGGGCAAGACTAGATGGAAACTCATGGCACACGTGGCATTTCGTCCTCCCAAGTGGTGCACTTTCGGAAACTCCAGGACATCTGTCCACCTGCTCCTTAATGACTGAGGCGCATTCTGAGAGAAACACCGCTGATGATTGCAGAAAAGAAAGTAATCATGGCCATACGGGAGACACCCACGCCCCAGGCTGAGCTGAGCTGAGCTAAGGGTTAGTGCACTTAAACAGGCGCCTGGGGTGGTAATTTACAAGGACTACCCAATACCATTGGGGTAATTGGAGATAAGGGGCCCGGTTAACTCAGGTTTCCATGTGCAATTCTTCAGATTGCCAAGCTAAGGTATGAAATTGGCCCTACTCCCATTCATCACATTGAATAAGTTTTCTGAATTTGAAACTGTAGCTAGAATCTGCCTTTGAGGAAGAATCTTGATAACTGGAGAACTTTTTCGGTGAGCACACACTAAAGCATTATCCCTGGAATAACAGGCATTTAATATTCTTGCAGAGGCACTCAGTGGTAGATGAGGGTATGGATGTGGCACTGGGGTAGCACTGAACAGTGCAGCCTCAGGAAGCAGAGGGGGGTGAGATCAGGGAAGGCAGAGGTAGGGTCAGGAGAGTGGAGGTGCTCCCACTGCAGGTGGGCTTTCTCAGGAGGCCTGGGAGATTGGTCTACGAGCTCTTGCTCTCCCACAACTCTGCTCCCCACCTGACTTTCTGCCTAGTCACCTTTCAACTCTACTTATTTTTACAAGAGTTTTTAGAGAAAGGAGTAAAATGACAGTTGATATAAAGGTTTGTTTTTACCTATAGAAATCTCTATCAAATACATGTTAAATTTTCAAAGTACATTTTAAAAAAGGGGTGCCAAATTCTTACCCATCCAGGGCACCCACCTACCAGGTCTGGTCCTGGTACCAGGCACTGCACGGGGCTATGTGCATCTCATTTGAGATGGAGTCCCTGAGACTGTGGGCCAATGAGTTCTTAAATGCTTACCCTTGGGGACTGCGTCTGATAAAGGCAAGGCAAGGCAAGGAGGACTGGGATGCTGTGGCTTAAGAACCAGATCAGGAAGGAGGGGCTGGGATCCTAAATGGCAACTCCAGTGTCAAGGGCTGCTGCTTCACTTGTAGGTCATTCATACCTGGAGCCGTGAGGCCCTCACGTCATGGGTCAGAAGGCTGGTCAGGACACTCATACATGCTGACAAACCATAGGAAAGCATTTTCCCTCTGCCTGAGGAAGCTAGGACTGAAAAGTCACTGTACTGGCAAAAAAGAAATTGGTCACGTATGTAAGAGAAATGACCAGGAGGGGCAGAACCTGGCACATGCTGGATAAAAGTGGGTTAAGAAATAAGGAAAGTGTGTGTGTGGGGGGAGTCTATGTTGGCTCTGCAGGTATGTAAGGTAAGCATTAATGTTAATTTCTCCAAAAAGAGACATTGGAACTATATTAACGTAGTAGGTGGTGGGTGCAGCTGGGCACGCTTCTATTTGCCTTATTCTCCTCCCAGCAGCAGAGGGAGGTAGAGAGTAAAAAATGATGTGGTTGATTCCTACATGAACAGGCACCTGCAAAAAGGCAAGAAATTGAAGATACTTATAATAAGAAATCATTGAGAATCTCCTTAGTCGCAGACAGGCAGCTCTGTAGAATGACTGGCATTTCGGAGGCAGACAGACCTATAACTCAAAGGCTATCGGAAGGTAAGGCACAGGGTGGGGAGGTTAGTATTTTAGAAATACTTCACTTGTTCAAAACTGATATTTTGCTCTTTCTTCGGCATGTAGCTATGTGCTCTTATGTAAACATGGGACTGGAGTCAGAGGTTTGGCTTTGTACCCTTTGAATACACACTTCGCTGGACCTCAGAAAGGAGGGGGGCAAAGAATAGCAAGGTGGGAGTGTCTAAAGAAGGAAATAGACTAAAAAAAAACAACCCTGCAGCTCCAGACAATGGAAGTGATAATGCCTCTCTTCCAGGCAAGCCCTCGCCAATGGCCAGCATTTTGAAAACATCTGAAGCATGGAAGTGATGCTGGAGCACACAAGCCACTATTACTGTTGTGCTCATGGGGATGGGTCACTGCCCCATGGCCTGTAGCATAGGATTCTAGGGTCTCAAAGCATCCGGCAGTCCCTGACAAGCTGTCTAGACACTTGCTTGATTTCCTCAATATGCTTCTCATTCCTAAGCCATTCAGAAATGGGGGGGGGGGTCTTTCTTTAACTACCACATTTCAGGAAAGGAAATGGGAGCAGTTAGATTTACTTTTCTTCAGAATCTGGTTCAGAATATATATGTGGTGAGGGTGGGGTCTTCAAAGAGTTCATAGAAAATGTGTACTATGAAAAAAATTCTGCATGGATTTCAATATTCTTTTATACCAAAATAAACTTCAATTCCATTGTTCCATGAACTTCTCAATATTAACTCAGATTTGTTTCAATAGAGAACAGTTCTGGACGCCAGTTTATGTGGTCCTGAAACTATGCACGCACGCCCATGTGCATGTGTGCATGCGAGAGATTTAGAAACATTTGCTTCCTCAAAAAGTCAAATCATGTGCATATTTTACCCAATAACTCAATGTTTCCAAAACCTCCTCAGAATTGCCTGTCTTGCAGTTCCTTAGTTTTCATTTACCCTATCCACCATTCAGTGTTAGTGTCAAAGTAACAACAAATAGAAAAATTAGCACCAACAAGAAGTGGGGAGGTGAAGAGTTGGTTTGTGAACATCTGACGCCCAGTAATTCCCAGGATAATGACTATGGGAAGGATGGGGTCATCATGACAGGTCTCATTCCCTTCCCCCAACCTCCCAATGAATGAGGGTCATTCCGACCCTCTTCGGGTGCTCGCTATGTTTGAGCGCTGCGCGTTAGCCTATGTTTGAAAACTCATGGTACTGCTAGGAGAGCCACACGTGTATCCGAACGTCAACCATTCGGTGAGTAATACAGTGGTTCAACTGCACAGGCAAGCATCGGACAAGAAAAAACAATCCCTTTTGGAGTCTGGGCACTGATAAGGTAAAAATTAGTATGACAACTTTTTCCATTATTTAATCTATCTTTATTTACCTTTTATTATAAAAATTGAATCTTTATTTTACACAAAAGATACCTTTAAAACAGTAAAGTTTACCAAAAACTACTGAATCTAAGGCAAAAGAATTTACCACCAAAATGCAGACTTACACGGTAAACCTGAGGGCCAAAAACATGGAACGAAATCTTACACTTTCTAATAATTCATTACCAGAAGCAAAAAGAAAACAATAGTATATGTTTCCAAATATGTGACAAAGATAAAATAAGTGCCAGCCTTCATTATGAGCTAACAAAAGAAAATGTCTCAATTACTGGCTCACTCTTTCACTGAGAGTGAGACATTTGAAGAATTAAAAAAAATCTTCTTGTAAACATTCATAGTTAGGCTTGTACACAACATATATGCACAAACACATCCATTATAACCCTTTGTATTTAAAATTGCACCCTCTCTGTTAGAGATGATGTGCAACGTGCTGAAGGCATTCGTAATTGCTTTTCTCAGCAGTAGTGTAGTATACAAGTCAAAAGCAAAACTTAAACGTGAAATGAAGTTCCATTGGAAGCATCTCAATGCATACTTTGGCTCATATATCCTATATTAATGCTTTAGTGCTGATGATATTGTCCATATAAAAACAGTAGAACAGAATGGAGTCTGTTACCAAAGGTATCAGTAGATACCTTCCAGTGGATGTAGTAGTGATGGGCAAGAAACAAGATGAAACCAATGAAATAGTTTTCCACAGCCAGTTGAAGATAATTATATCCAAGCCAAGTTTTGCAACATGTTTTTAGTTTATGCCATTTCATATACATAATGTCTTTGTAATGCAAACCAGGATGCAAAATAACTCCTCCTCTCTCCCACCAATCTTTCTTTTGTTTCTAGAAAGAAGGAAACATAGATTCTGATCTGAAGTGCAGGAAACAAAGTGGATCTCTAGTTAGCCTCTCATGCTTTTGGTGGGGGCGAAGGATGTTAGGATCAGCTCTAAATACTGCAGGGATAGGTGGAGTAGAAACTACTCAATTAAACATTACAGACCTGGCTTCTACTCAAATAAACAGATGCTCAACCCTCACTGCGAGTGTTCTAGGGTGACTATATTCTGCCTTATACAATTGCTGATCACAGTTAACGGGGTGGGCGAGTGGAGAAGGAAAGCAAAACACCTTAGGTGAATAGGAGGATGCTGAGAGAATAGAAAAATGAAAAAAATGGCAAGAAAATTTCATTGAAAATACAGGAAATAACGTTAAGTCCACAGAATAATTGTTTGATTATTTTAATGGTTTCTGAACCCATCAGTATTATGCAATATTTTAATTAAACATACAAATATGAATCATGAAACATTTAACAAACAGGACCAAATACTTTCACCATGGAACAATAATGTTATGCAGATAAATCATGGCAGCACACCTGGGCACACCTATGGGAGCTGTCACAGCACTGAGGTCCAGGAGCTCCGTTTACCCTGTTTAACACAAACATTCATTAAACGGCAGTGAGCTATGGTGACATACAGGGGCAAGCGTTAAGACAGAATGAAGAATGGAAATACAGTATCTATGTACTGCACTGGCAGATGTACCCTGACGTAGGTGAGGGAAAGAATACTACCTCTTCCCAGGAAGGCTGGAAAACACTTGGGTTCTCAAGCTAAGGTTGAGCATTTGGTTTTCTCTGAAATGTCATAACTAAGGGAATAGAATCTCCATATTACAAGTAATGAATACAAAAAAATGCCAGCCTAGTATTAACTTCCAACCTCTTGTAATTTTGGAAAAAATATTAAGCATACCAGAAACAAATAAGTTATAAATGTGTATACATGGGTACATGTATGTGTATGTGGATGTGGTTATGTACGTGCAAATAAAAGCAACCCATGCCATTGCTAGCAGAAGCCATAAACTTTGTTCTGAATAACCCCCCCACCCCCATTTATTGTTTGGAAAATGCATATCCATCCTTGGAAATCAAATGCTAACTAAAGTCATATAATTTAACAAGTTTCATTTTCTTCACTTAAAAGTCTCTATAATGAATATGAACACATAAAATAAAGACCTGCCCCATAGTACAGTAAAGGTGGTATTAACACCATAGTTTTGTATGTCAAGTGGTGGTTTCGTTATTCATGTGCCAGTGCTGTGTTATTTCAAAAGCTACATAAACACTGGTGTATAAGATTAAAATTCAAAAAGAAATTTAGAAACAATGGTATCAAGAGCAACATAGTTTGCACTAGTAACTATACCCTAGTTAGTGTATGGAAAGCAGTTTATAGATTCACTATTAATCTTACTAGTAAATGGTTTCTAGAAACTTACATGGGTAATAAAGATGTAGCCGATGACTTTCGTAGTTGAACTGAATAGGTGACTAGCCATAGAGAAGTTCTAGATTGTAAGACGAATGGGAGCAACTTTGAATTATGTTTTGAAATTTTTTCCTATACAGAGTGTGGGATTTTCTTCATACATACTATGGCTAATTATGTGGTCAGCAACATTTAAACACCCCTCTATACATCACACTCACACCCAAAACTACAATAGTTTTACATACACTGAAATCAGCACACGTGACCATCCTGTGACACTAAAAAAAAAAAAAAAAAAAAAAAGACTCACACTAAAAAAATAAATAAAAGCAGTAACAACAAACACCACAGATATAGTCAAAATGTTTTCTGAGGCCCTAGAAGAAAGTTTCATCAATTATGCCTGGCTCCCTGAGAACCTGAATGTTCTGACTAAAGGCAAGTTTTGGTAAGAAGTATAGTTTCATACCGCTCCTTCCCCTTCAGAATAAACAATAATGTGTTAGGCAGCCTTTGATGTTCGATATTCTTTATAGCTATTACTATTCAAATTTCATTTAATGCGAATAATTCTTTTCTCTGAACTTCTGTCCAGGCGAGTGTGGCCGGTAAGATAAACTACATTTGCTATACTTTAAAGAGTCACTTTCATCTTTCTGGAACAAAAGAGAAAACACGTAGCACACATCACCACTTTGTGTTTACAGTACTCTTTACCCATCGTGTTTTCCAGTTGTGTTTAGGTACAGTTTATTAGATTACTTCGTTATATCCCCAATGGCGCTACATCATAATGTCTAAACCCATTAGAGAAAACACATTAAAAAGGTACTTTCCCCCAAAAATCGAGTCAGTCGCTTTTATTCACTTAACAATATGCATTATAATGAAAGACCAAACACAAAGCTCTTTATAAAAAGGAACAAAACTTATTCCAGAAGAATTAGATCACAGCATGAGATGAATTTCAGTTAAACAGATCTACTTCTTTGTGAGCTTTCTCATCTTAGACACCAAATAGGGGCTGAGTGTTTTACATTATAATCGTAGATCTAGAGATCATGCAGACGGAAGAAAAAAACTTGCTTTAAATCTTACTAAATGTCTACCAAGTATTGTAAAATTCAAATCTGTACCTCTCCTCTCCATCACAGTTTTGATAAGTAATTAAGAATTGTACCCGTACAGTTGCTCAGCGACCAGAGAAGAGAGAGGTAGATGATACAGCAGTCCTCTCACAAGGAAACCCCCAAATACTTAAGGGCACAAGACACAGGGCTTTTGTTATCCAGAAGTAATCAGCTACAGAGTACAAAGACATTGTGGAGCAGAATGCACACACACATGAGAGTTACAAACAACCCAAACCAAGCACACTAACAGAAGTTCTTAAATGAGTATGTTCAATGTACCTTACAAAAGTTATTCTCACAGATAGTGAATCCAAGATTATACGATAGAAAATATTTATATGTTTTACATTTAATATAAAAATTTTTAACAAATAAAAACAGACTTTGATGAAAAACAAGGAGAAATTCTAGAGACTACATTAATTTTCAGGCTGCTCCGAGGACAAAAATATCCGAAGTACCCTGTTCCTATTCTAGACAAAAGCCAAAGGTAGGCATTTTCTCAGGGTTCATCATTACTCTTCACAGAAAATCAAATTAAGGAAGACTCAAACAAGCTGGGAAAGGAAGTCAAAATTAAGCCCAAAAGGAATTCTTCCAAACATAATATTTAAAAAAAAAAAAAAAAAGTTAAGAACACAAATCAAAGACAGTACCGAGTACACATCAAGGACATTTATGTTGATAAGTTTATAGTCTTGGTGATAAATATCAAGTCAGTTGAAACAACTTAGTAAATAAGTAATGGGGCCTGGGGGAGAACGACTGACTACATAATCTTTAAGGTAAGAACTGAACGGCAGGGATTCATTAACTTCCCATCCCCATGTGATCCTTGATGTCTACCTAGAACATGTCAATAAGTTAAAGGTCAATTATTCACAAAACTTCAGGTAAGTGTGAATATTGTTTACCTGTTTAATTCAGGGCTAGACACTGGGTTGTTTTACTAAGACACTTGGTTCGTCAGAATCATCCATTTTTCATCGTTATAAATTGGGGAAGTTTGCTTCTCATTTAAAGCCCTGAGGCATACTTTTGAAAAGGATTTTGAGACACGGGTCTCTTCTCTTTAGATCAACATTTATCTAAGCATGTCTGCAAGCGTTCTGTTACAGGCAGAGGAAGAGTACTGAGCAAATTGTCCTCGACAATCAGACAGCTCCGTTTTAGAGACTGACATCCTTCCAGCTCAGAAGGAAGTGTTTCCAGGTAATTACCAATGAGCTCCAGATGAGTAAGGTTCGACAGCTCACCCACCAGAGGGGACAGATTCATCAGGCTATTTTTCCCCAAAAGTAAACACTGCAGCTTTTTGCACTGAAACAGCCCATCTGGTAGCATCTCAATCTGGAAAAGGAAAAAAAAAAAGCCAGTAAAACTATGTTTTTAAAGATCTATGATAATACAATTATTTATACTACTAGCTACCTTTCCCCAAAACTGTTTCTGGAAGTTTATTGAGAACATATGACAATGACAATAAATTTGAAGTAGATGAAACAGATAAAGGAAAAATAAATGTGTAGGAGTATTCCAGGGAATAGCGACTTAGACTATCATAAACATCTAAACCCTTGCTATACAGGGGTAGGCAACAAATTCGACCCTCCACACTCAAATAACAACGTTTAAAGAAAACATAGCTACATACGCAGTGGCCCTATGATAAGAAAACAAGCCAGTAACTCAGGAGGATCATAATTATTCTTGAATCCTAGATCAGAAATACATTACTCTCAAGAGTTCTCATAAAGACTTTACAGTGTAATGTAATGAGCAACATCCTTAAAAACATCCTGAGAGCAGAGGCAGGCTATTTCTTGCTTGTACTACATCAGTTACAGATTGGAACTTTTTTTTTTTTTTCTAAGTCTATAGAAGCAGAGTCAAAAAGACATGATAATATATACATTTCGTCCTCTCCACATACACACAGATCCACCTGAGTATTTGCCGTTCTTCCCGCTCTCTGGGGCAAGGCTTCAATGGCATAATCCATATAACATAAAGAGGTCATTTTACATGTGATAAACAGCCTGTAAAATAGATCAACTTCTAGACAGGCTCAACTCGGACTGCCCCGCTACATGGTAGGGAGGTTGTAGGTGAGTTTAGAAGGGCAGCACCATGCATATGATGAAGTGGGGCTCATGGGGGAAGGATGCCCGGAGGAGTTGAGCACACACAATCTCTTCCACTAGTCACTCCACAAAGCGGTGCGTGTGGGCTGTGGGTGGGGGCTGCATTTGACCCCCTCGCCCCGTGAGACTCTGCATGTTGGCTGGGGCCAGAGGCATCTGTGAAATAATGCAGACTCCATGGAGCAGGAGGTGGCTTTGTTAGAAACAGGGAGGAGAGGGTCACTTGGGGCTTGACCTACATCCTCTGATGGGCTAACCCAAACCTGCTGAGCCAGCTGTGCTGGGAGGTAAACGTCAGGGCCACCCAGAACTCCCTCCTCAAAAGGACACATACCCTTCATAGAAACTGAAACACAGTCAAACTGCATTCAAAACTACTCATTGTGTTAGAAACACCCTTTTCCTACATCCCAAAGACAGTCAGTGCTGAATATCATGAAAATCAACCTAATGATGACTGTTGCTCACACGCACATCCAATACAGAGCTTCATCACACATCAAAGTAAAGGAAAAATATCCCCCCCCTTTTTTCATTCTCTCCTCAAAAGCAGATGCAAACCAATTTATAAGCAGACTTCAATCGAGAAAGATGAGGCAGGGCAATGAGACACACAGAAGGAACATAAGCCTTCCGAAAGCAACTCGTTCTGCTCAGAGATAGCTGCAGCTCAGAAGCAGGGTCAGTGATGGACAAGCAGAGAGGAAAATCAGTCCTGTGCCGTGTGGTTGGGGTTGGGAGTCCCGTATTTTTGTGGTGCCTAAGCAATGTGATTTAGGCAAATCAGCCAAAAAGGAGGGCTTGGTGCGTCTGCATTCAGTAAACGAGTGCTCAGTGCTGAGTGTTTCTTTGGGTGCGAGGCTCCAGTGAGGTGCTGGGGACCACGTGCAAGGCAGATGGCCTGAAGAACTTTAGTCTAATGTAGGCTACCACGTGTATCTCGATCTCATTTCTCAACCTGAGCACTGCTGACAATTCGGGTAGGATAACTCGCCCTGAGGCTGTCCTGTGCATTGCAGGGTTAGTAGCAGCGTCCTTAGCCTCTGTCCACCAGCTGCCAATGCCACTCCCCTCCCCAGCTGTGACAACCACATAAGTCCCCAGACAAATATCCCCCTGGGGGGTGGTAAAAATCATCCCCCAGTTGAGAAGCACTGTTTAACAAAAAAGAGATACATTAAACAATTATACAAATAATTAGTTTGTAAAGGTTGGGACAAAGAAGAGTACACTAGCCTGAGGTTCATCCAAGTCCCACACTCCCTTCCTGTCAACTTCTGATTCCCAGCAAATGCCTTGGTCATTACACTGATGTCCTACCGAATGACTACCCTGAAGCCATTGCCCCTGCTCTCCTATCATATTCTTAAGAATCTTTTCTCCAATCACTCTATTTGTGATTTTAACCTATTTTTCAGCCCCAGCAGAAGAGAAAGATTTCACAAAGCAGCAAAAGAGAGCCTCTGGGGCCTGCTCTTCTGGCTGGAGGCTGCAGCCCCTCAATCTTGCTGCTGTGTGGGTGAGTCAAGGGCTGCAGCCGGGGTAACCTCTCCCCTCTGTGTGTGCAGTGTCTGTCCCAGGGGCTCTCCCTCCTCAGTGCCCAGCTGTGGCACAGGACCTTCACTCACCTACTCTAATATGATTCTCCTCACAGAAGCTGGGAAGCTCTGATAACGACTCAAGACTTCCTGCAACTCAGCAATTTTACCCTGAAAAATCTACTTACAACTTTAAACATGGTTTGCCCTGAAGCTTATAAGAACACCCAGCACGTTTTGTCTGGGTCGACAAATTTTATAAAAAGATTAGATAACACTTATTACACCTAATTCATTTAGCATGTCCTTCTTTAGACTGTACCATACGTAAGCCAAGTGGAAAAAAATTACCCTGTGGACGGCTGATCTGATTTCTTCTCAAAAACTAAAGGAAAAGTTTAACACTATTTGGGAGATGATAAGGGTCACAAACAGAATGTTTTTATAAATGATAATATATGTAAAATTAATAATAAACTATTAAAATAAACAGGAAAAAATTAGAAAACTAAAGGCTACATTGTCACTCTGTATCCTAAAAATTTTTTGGCAATAAAATGTCTTCAGCAAATGGATCAGAGCCCCTAGGCCAGGATGGTTCTTTTTCTATGTCTATGGTTGATAGTCATAATTAAATATTCCTCTGTCTCTCAAAGGTAAAGGACCTTACTTCAGAACCTTCTTGATGTCCGATTTCCTTTTTCTTTTCTTTTTCTCCTGGCCAGTAACCATCATGGTCTTGGGACATACTAACCACATACAACCCAATCATTTAACGAAACAAAGTTGAATATTTCCGTTTCTAAATAGTGATGTCTAAACAATAAGCACTGTCCCATACATGATCGTCCGAAGGAATGTCTACGTTACTCACCTTCTGGTAGGAAGTCTTTGAGCTAATCAAAGGAAGAAATGCTCCCATGTGGATGCCCAAAGACCTCAGTGTACACTGGAGTGGCTTGTAAGATTTGGACAAACCCAAGGACGTCCATTTGCACACTTTGTGCTTCTCCTCACGGTCAGTGCCCCCATGATCCAGTTGCTTTCTGGCACTAGGCTAGGGATAGCTCCTGCCTCTGCTTCTCTCACCTTTCACACCCACCCGCAGCTGCTGCAGCTTCCCATGTGAGTTCACTCGGTTGATGCCTCTGAGGCAGAGAGAGCAGTAGAGCGGAGGTCGGACACTTGGATTCAATTCCAGCTGCGTCTCTAGGAAGCTGCAGCCCTCTGGTGAGCGACTCCGAGCCTCACTTTCAGTATCTATAAAATGGGGTCAGTGGATTGGAGGAGGCAAAGGTTTTCCCTAAAGGACTGGATGAATAAATATTTCAGATTTTGTGGGCCCAGATATTTTTGTGAAAATATCATTAGGAATTTACTTAATAAGACAGAAAAAAAATTCCATTCAATTTAAGTGATGAATTTCAAAATGTAACAATTGAGTATCATTTTGCTTATAATACAGGTCCATTAATATGAACAGACTTTATGTAGACACTGAAATTTGAATTTCACATAATTTTCATGTCTCATGAGATATTATTCTATCAATTCCCCTCCCAACCATTAAAAAAATTAAAAAAAAAAAAAAAACCTGCTTTTAGCTTGTGCCATATAAAAACAGGCTATGGGTGGATTCAACCTTCAGGGTGTAGTTTGCTGACCTTTGGATTAGATGATTCATGACCTGGTGGTCTCTATATAGAGACTTGACTCTTGTTTTTAATCTATATTCCTACTTCTAAATCAAAACTGTTTAGGCCTTCCAATAGGGTTTTATTCCTTGATTGTCCTTTTTCAATCTTTTTTTTTTTTTTTTAATTTTGCCAGAGGGCCCGTGTGTTGGACAGAGACAGAGAAAGAGGGAGGAGAAAGCACCCCCCAATGGGGCATGGGTATGCCACAATATCTTCTCCTCAATTTCTCCATCTGATCAGGATTTGTGGCACATACACGTGTCTGTCATGTTTATCAAGTTGCTAGGATCAGAATTTAAACTGCATGGTCAGCCATGTGGGATCCAGCTCCATTAATCACCAGGCCACAGGGCCGGCCCCTGCCTCAACCATTCTTGCGCTGCAATAACAGCCTCTTTGGAAAATACCAGTTGTAGCTAAGTAGCACTTTCAAGCTCAAATCTTGCCCTTGTCACTATCCAGTGAATCGAATTTTAACTTGATGGACAGGCTCCCAGGCACTCCCCATTCTGACCTTGCCTTGACAAATGTCCCCATTTTTTACAGCAGGCCTATGGCAAATCTCTGTGTATGACCTCTATCTTTTTCCATTTCCTTAAGTCAGTAAAGTAACCTTAGGGTATGTTTCATGGACCACAAGAGATACAATGAAATAAAGGAATCTTGCTCAAACACTTTTAGCTGATGTTGCATACCGTGTCTCCCTCTTGGAGAAGCATACTGCATACTCGTGAGTTAAAGACTCAGAGGAATCCTGCAGAAAAAATAGGATTAACAGAGCACTTAACTTAGTGCTTCTGTGATACTCCCCATGACCATCTTGTGAAAGAAAGGCTGGAGTGCCCTCTCACTGAATGTCTGTCACCCTGAGGGACTGCCCAACACTCTTCTATGTCTAGAGAAATTTCTACCTTATGACTCCTGGTGGAGAAGCAGAGCCCACTTCCACCAAGAGAAACTCCCAGCACCAGATCCTTGTGTTCCACCTCCCTCACAGCTACAGAAAGGGCATTTGAAAGCTGTGCCAATCAGGTGTTCAGAATGGACCTAGACCAGGGCTAAGACACAAAGAACTGGAAACCACGAAGACCTTATTTTGTGGGAAGGCACTCTCACGTGTCCTGGGACAGCAGGTGCCTAGTGCAAGTGCAGTCAGCAGCAATCTTCATCATTTTGCTTTTGCACTACAATTTGGCTGTGTCTGACTGACTGTGTTCGACTGTTTTCTTAGCTTTGCAGCCTTTTCTGTTGTAATATGAGATACTCAACATCGCTCCGTAAATGTACCTTCTGCCTAACTCAAGAGTTGGTATTTGTTGCCTCCATCTACCTGGTACACGGCCCGTCTTGAGAACTGAGCTTTGAACCATGTCTTTCAGGAATCTTTACCAACCACCACTCCAGTGACTCACATTTCTGAGCACATCGTATCTTGACACTTACACATCCAATGTGATGCTTTATTTTCTAACTTTTACAAATAATTAGGTCTACCTCATAGAATCATGAGAAACTCAAGGTTAGAAAGAATCCTGAACATAGTAAAATCCCCATGTGAAACATGAATCTTTCAGGTAATGCTGCCATTTGCTACTAATCTTGATTGATCTGAAAGTGGTTTTCTTTCTGTTTGTTTTTCTAACTTGCTATAGACCATGTGAACTTATCAGAGACAGGGAGAGAGAGAGGGAAAGTGAGAAGGCAAGCTGCCAGGTCTGAGACTCGAACTATGGTCAGCTTATGTGGGACTCCAGCACTTTAACCACCATGACACCTGCTAGCCCTGATCTGAAAGTAGTTTAAAAACCTCGTAATACTTTAAAACCTAAAGATTCCTCATCTATCTTAGAATGGACTCTCTCTTTGTATGTATGAATATAGCCTCAGAGTCCTACAACTTGGCATGAATTTTGCTTTCATCCCCCAATTTTCAAACATTTCTCTATCATCCATGATTTTATAAAATAATGTCTGATTAAGATGTTTATTAGCCAATGCCATGCTCCTAGCTATATTTAGCATGAAATAGGAATTATAAACTCGAGGAGATAATACATTCTAGGGTGGGGTAGAACCAAACAGCAGTTCTCATCTTCGAGTAGAGGAAGATGAGTTTCATTCCTTGGTAAACCCTTTCTAACAGCGTTTTCCCCTACTGCATTCCATATGGACATTACTCTCACTCTTTTGCCCTCTAGACCAGTATGATTTCTTTCTTCCTTTTCCTCCTCTTTCAAGTCTTAACCTAGGAACACTACTCAGTCATTTTGTTTTGTCATGTTTCAGTCAAGTTTTCTTTAACTTGGCTTTACTGTTGCAAATTATGGTTCATTTTTAAGCATGGGTGCCAGAAAAAGCTTCCAAGCAGCTCTTGTGTTGCATTACTGAGGCAGGCCTTTCATTTTGAATTGTCTCTCCAGACATGCATGCAGATTTCAAGTCTTTATTATAGCATCACAAAAAGGATTTATGAATAATTCATGATCCCAGCATTTTTAAACAAAAAGCTATGGTATTATGACAGATTTGAAAAACGGAAAAGTTTTACCAAACTTTCTAAGTAGTTAAACCCTTTCCAGAGCAAAAAAGTAAGTGCTACCATTACTAATTAGTTTGAAATATTTTGACTGTGATGTTTATGTAGAAAAGGCAAAAAGAGCATCAAGAGAACTAACATTTGTTGAGTATTTTATGCCAGAAACTAGGCTAAATACTTATATATTTTATAAAGATCTCCACGACTACTTGTAAGTGAGATTAAAAACCGGTGCTCAGTGTTTTTTAATTTGTCCAAGATCACATGGGATTGGGCTTGATTCAGAGCCTTTAGTATGACTTAAGTCCAAAAAAAAAACTACATTACAAACTGCAAGCACAGCATATACTCAAGAGACTGGCTGAATAAAGATTAGAATGGATTTACTTACATTGTTGTTGGTCACAGCAAAGTACTGCAGATTACTCAGATACTGGATTTCTTCTGGAATGAAGGTCAGGTGGTTATAGCTTAAATCCAAATAGTGTAGTTTGGTGCATAGGAAAAGCTGCAAGGGCAGATTCTCAATATTATTATGGTCCAAGAAGAGCTGCTCTAGGTTAGATAATGCCCCAATCTGGGCAGGAATATAAGCAATGTTATTGTGCCATAGTTTTAAGCAGGAAAGATTCTGAAGATGCTGAAAGCTAATGATCTCTTCCACGGTTTTAAGGTTATTTTCCTTCAGGTCTAGCTCATGCAAATTGTTCAGGCTGAAAATGGAGTGTGGAATGCGTTCCAGGTCACAGCTGAGCAGTTCCAGGCTCTTCAGGTTGACCATCTTTTTCAAGTTGTTCAACATGACCAGTTTGCTTCCTTCGTTATCTAGCGACAGCTTCTGCAGTGAAGGCAGGAGGTCTGTCACAACTTGTGGGATCCGGGAGAGGCTGCTCTTCAAGTAGAGGGTCCTCAAATTTTTTAAGTCCTGAAAGCCCTCCAACTGCATGGTACTCAGCTGCTCAGGGAGGACACAGCCCGACAGATAAAGTTCTCTGAGATTCTTCAGATGAAATACCCAGCGTGGGATTTTTCCCATCTCAGTGAATTTCAGACGGAGGATTTTTAAATTCTCCTCCAGAAAGGCCAATGCAGGATGGTCGACCACCAGAGACGAATGGCACACATGCAGCTCCCTGAGGTTGACCAGCTGGGAGACTGCGGGAGGCAACTTGACCTCAGGGATGAGCTCTAGGATCAGCACTTCCATTTCGGTTAACTCAAAGACATTGTCGGGAAGACCACTGAGCATAAAAAGATGCAGTTCTACCTTGTCCTGGGCATTTTTCACAAGCTTACTTTTCAGTTTCTCCACGGTCCATTCGTTATTGAGATTGATCTGTTTAAGTTTGTTCTCACTGACCTCTGAGAGAAATATGGAGAAGCGTTTGGAATAAAGAGGATCATACTGGTCAGCAAGATGAAGGATGAAGGCAAAGTCGTTCTTAACATCAGGGATATCACTGTAGTTGCTCTTTTCTCTTAATGCCTCAAAGGAATATTGCTTCAGGGAACTCCTCAACATCCACCACAAGCTGTAGGAGGAGGTGAGACCATAAAGTATAACCAAGATGACATAGAACGAAGCCAGGACCTTAAATATTTCTGCTAAGGAGTAGACACACTGGTAGCGCTTATATCCTGTAAAAGCCTGCACATCAACTGAACAGTCGATTTCCAGACTGATGTAGGTTAAGAAGTATGGAACATACGTTATGATGAGGACAAACAAAATGACTTTGACTATAATTTGCTTCAGGTACACTCTATAAATGATGTCCTTCTGCTCCACGTGCAGGCGGAATCTCTTCACCTTTTCAAAGATGGCTTTGGCCTGCTCGCCCTCCTTCTTGTCCAGGACACTGGAAGTTGAGCTTTCTATGCCGGCGGACTCCAAGCCTGTCTGTGGGTATGGCAACGACTGCTTGCTCGAATCAATGTCAGCTGAACACCCTGAGGTCGAAAGCAAAGTCTTGGACTTGGAGAGTTTCCGGGGCCTGACCGACTGCTCGGCCACCGTTTCTGAAAGGGCGCGGGTGGTCCACGGAGAATCAAAGCACTTGTGAAGGATGGCCACAAAATGCTCGAGCCTGGAACTGGTACTGGGGTAGTGAAGCCAAAAGTTGCTGCAGGCTGCAAAGATGAGCGTGTGCAAGAGCACCAGGTAGGGGAAGAACTTTGCAAACCAATGGAGCTGCTTCTCGTAACAGACGGCATCGATGTAGGAGTACTGCTGGCGGTGGAGGTCATTCTGGATCCGGAGGGGGAGCGGGAGTGGTGTCCCAGGATTAGAGGACATGTTCACGCTAACTTTCAGGATGTCCCAAGGCACGGCACAGTGATTGTCGAATTCCACTTTGCATGGAAGACAGCACAGAACCCTGCTCTGCGTGAGCTGGAGTGCTCCGGCCAGCACAGCCACCAGCAGCATGATCAGGGTGATGTAATACCAGAAGACGTCCCACCATGGTTTTAGGATGTGGTAAGATGACTGGGCGTCTGCGAGACATTTTAGCTCTGTTAGTGTAATCATGACTTTCCCTTATAGAAGTACAGAAACTGGAAGAGGAAAATAAAGAAACACTTCTGAAGCAACTACTCAAAGAAGCATTGACTCTAATGCTTGGGTATACATGCTGTCCTCCCGCCCCCCCCCA